TTGGAACCAATTGTCTCAGCTCCTGGACGTCAATGCAGGAATTCTTTGGCATAGTGTGCAGCTCAACTATTTTCAGCTGCTTCATCAATGAGCTACCTTCCAAATTAAACCGAGAAGTGGGAATATTTGCTGATAATTTCACAAGAGTTCAATATAGTGTTTAACTCTTTGATTACTGAGGCAGCCTGTGCCCACATACAGTAACACCTAAAAAACATCCAAGCTTGATTTGAGAAATAATAAGTAACATTGACGACACATGAGTGTCAGACAATGACCATCTCCAACCGAGAAAATCCAACCATCTCCCTTTGACATTAAATGGCATTTCTATTGATGATTGCCCCACCAACAAAATCCTGAAGGTTATTAATAATGAGAAACTTAACTGGACCAGCCATATAAAATCTGTGCCAAGAGATCTGATCAGAAACTCGTAATTCTTGCAAAGTTCCTCATTCCCATAGTCTTCCCACTATTTACAAGGTATAAGGCATAAGTGTAATGCAGTACTTCCCACATGTCTGAATTGGTGCTGATTCAATGGCACTGAGCTCAACATCATTTAAGACAAAGCAACTTGTTTTATTGTTACCACTTTCTGCATAATGGCCTAGTGATATTATTGCTAGACTCTTAATCCTGGAGATCCAGGTTTGAATTCTGTCATGGCAGATGATAGAATTTGAATTCAATATTAAAAAGAAAATTTGGTATTAAGGATCTACTGATTACCATGAAACCACTGTCAATTGTTAGAAAAAAAATCCATCTGGCTCACTATTGTCCTTCAGGTAAGGAAATCTGCCACTCTCACCTGGTCTGGTCTACACGTAACTTCAGACCCACAGTAATGTAGTTGACTGTCAACTGCCTTCTGAAATGGCCTAGCAAGCTACTCAGTTATGTCAATCTCTACAAAGTCTCCACAAAAAAAAAGAAACTGGATGAATCACCCAGCATTGAACTAGGCACTGGAAAAGACAACGGCAGAAACAGCACTGTCGACCCTGCAAAAGCTGTCTTACTAACATCTGGGGGCTAGTGCCAAAACTGGGAGAGCTGTCTAACAGACTAGCCAAGCAACAACCTGACATAGTCATACTCACGGAATCATACCTTACAGACAATATCCCAGATACCACCAGGGATATAGATAGGGTTAATGGTAGGTGTCTTTTTCTATAAAACGGGGGATTTCAGGACTGGGGTGCACATCTTCAAGGTGAGAGGTGATAGATTTAAAAAAGAAATGAGGGGCAAATTTTTTTTACACAGAGCGTGGTTCGCGTGTGGAATGAACTTCCTGTGGAAGTCATGGATGTGGGCACAATTACAATGTTTAACAGACATTTAGATAAGTACATGAATAGGAAAGGTTTAGAGAGATATGGGGCAGAAGCAGGCAAGTGGGACTAGTTTAGTTTGGGATTATGTTCGGCATGGACTGGTTGGAACAAAGGGTCTGTTTCTGTGCTGTATGACTCTATGACTCTATGTTCTGTCCTAGTGGCAGAGGTGGTAGCATGGTGGTATATAGGTAGAAGGGAGGGAGTTGTTCTGGGAGTCCTCAGCATTGACTCTGGACCCATGAAGTCTTATGACTTCAGGTTAAACATGGGCAAGGAAATTGCCTGCTGATTACCATATGCCATACTCCTTTGGCGGATGAATCAGTACTCCGCCATGTTGGAGGAAGCAGAGAGAATGGCAAAGGCACTAAATGCATTCTGGATGGGGGATTCCAACGTTGACCATCAAGAGTGACTCAGCAGCAGTACTACTGATTGAGCTAGTTGGTTCCTGAAAGGCATTGTTACTGGGCTGGGCCTGCAGTAGGTGGTGAGGGATCCAACAAGGAAAAACATGCTTGACCACATCCTTACCAATCTGCCAGTTGCAGGTGCATCTGTCCATGACAATATTGGCAAGAGATGTCATCACACAGTCCTTGTGGAGACAAAATCCCTCCTTCACTTTGAGAATACCATCCATTGTGTTGTGTGGCACTATCACCATGTTAAATGGGGCAGACTTCGAACAGATCTAGCAACACAAGGCTGGGCATCTGTGAGCCACTGTGGGCCATCAGCAGCAGAATTGTACTCCAGCACAATCTGCAATCTCAAGGCCCGGCATATCCCCCACTCAGCCATTACCAGCAAGCCAGGGGATTGACCCTGCTTCAGTGGAGACTGCGGGAGGCCATACTAGGAGCAGCACCAGGCATACCTAAAAATGAGGTATCAATCTGGTGAAGGTACCAAACAGGACGACTTGCATGCCAAACAGCATAAACATCAAGTAATAGACAGACCTAAACAATTCCACAACCAATGGATCAGACCTAAGCTCTGCAGTCCTGCCATGTCCAGTTGTGAATGGTGGTGGACAATTAAACAACTGACTGGAGGAACAGTCTCACAAGTATCCCCATCCTCGCTGGAAGAAGAGCCCAACTCATCAGTGCAAAAGATAAACCTGAAATATTTGCAGCAATCTTTAGTCAGAAGTGCTGAGTGGATGATCCTTCGCAGCCTCTTCCACTGGTCCGCAGCATTACAGACACTAGTCTTCAGCCTGTTGAATTCACTCCATGTGATATCAAGAAACATTTGGAGGCACTGGATATTGCGAAGGCTGCCGGCCCTGACAACATTCCAAAAATAGTACTGAAGACTTGTGCTCTAGTAGTTTCCGCTCCCCTAGCCAAACTGTTCCAGTACAGTTACAACACTGGCATCTACCTGACAATGTGGAAAATTGTCCAGTTATGTCCTGTACTCACAAAGCAGAACAAATCCAACTGGTCCCGTCAGTCTATTCCCAATCATCAGTAAAGTGATGGAAGGTGTCATCAGCATCAGTACTATCAAGCAGCACCTGCTCAGCAATAACCTGCTCAGCGATGCCCAGTTTGGGTTCCTCCAGGGCCACTCAGCTCCTGAACTCACTATGGCCTCAGTTCAAACATGGACAAAAAAGCAGAATTCTAGAGGCAAGGTGAGAGTGACAGCCCTTGACTTCAAGGCCGCATTCAACGTGACATCAAGGAGCCCTAGCAAAACTGATGTCAATAGGGAATGGGGAAAACGCTCCACTAGTTGGAGTCATTCCTGGCACATAGAAGATGGTTGTTGTTGTTGGAGGTCAGTCATCTCAGCTCCAGGACATTTCTGCAGGAGTTCCTCAGGGGTTGTCCTAGGCCAGTCATCTTCAGCTCCTTCCCTCCATCATAAGGTCAGAAGTGGAGATGTTTGCTGATGATTGCACAATGTTCAGCACTATTTGCAACTCCTCAGAAACTGAAACGGTCCATGTTCAAACGAAACAAGATTTGGACAATATCCAGACTTGGGCTGACAAATAGCAAGTAACATTTGCCCACTACATAAATGCCAGGCAATGTCCATCTCTTAATAATAATCTAATCACCACCCCTTGCAGTGAATGGTGTTACCATCACTGAATGCCTCACTGTCAAAATCCTGAGGGTTATCAATGAACAGAAATTCAGCTGGACTTGCCACATAAACACAGTGGCTACAAGAACAGATTCGAGGCTAGGAATAATGCAGTGATTAACTCACCACCTGACTCCCAAAGCCTGTCCATCATCTACAAGGCACAAGTCAGGAATGTGATGAAATACTCCCCACTTGCCTGGATGTGTGCAGCCCCAACAACACCCAAGAAGCTTGACACCATCCAGGACAAAGCAGCTGACTTGGTCGGCACTACATCCACAAGCATCTACTTCCCCGTAGTAGCAGTGTGTACTATCTACAAGAAATTTATTAAAAATCCTTAGACAGCACCTTCCAAACCCACAAACACTTCATCTAGAAGGACAAGGACAGAAAATACATGGGAACACCACCAACTGCAAGTTCCTCTCGAAGCTGCTCACCATCTTGACTTCGAAATGTATTGCTGTTCCTTCATTGTCGCTGGGTCAAAATCCTGGAATTCTCTCCCTAAGGTCTACCTACAGCACATGGGCTGCAGTAGTTCAAGAAGGCAGCTCACCACCACCTTCTCAGGGGTATCTAGGGGCAGGCAATAAATGCTGGCCAGCCAGCTCCACCCACATCCCCACAAGTGAATAAAAAAAAATCTGGAACCATTCACTTCTTCCACCACCAAGTGGCAGCATTGTATATTATGTACAAATGCACTGCGGCAACTCAGCAAGGCTTCATTGACAACACATTTTAAACCTGCAACCTTTGCTAACCAGAAGGACAAATGCAGCTGATGAAAGGGAATGCCATCACTTTCAAGCTCCCCTCCAAGCCACACACCATCCTGACTTGAAACTATGTAGCCAGTCCTTCACTGTCATGAGCTCACAATCCTAGACCTCCCTCCTTAACTGCACTGCAGGTGTACCTAGACCACCTGAACTCCAATAATTCAAGAAGGCAGCTCACTAGCAAGGTGGACAATAAATGCTGACCTTGCCAATAATGCTTACATCCCAAGAAAAAAACTATTCAGAGCTCTTAAATTGACATGCTGATTAAAATGCTTACTTTTTGAATAGAAATCTATCTTCAGCTTTTTTATGCAAACTTAACCAGATATATAAAGGATTTTTTTTAAAGCAACACTTTTTGTAAAGAATGTATTTTAAATGCTGCCGGATTCTGATTGTTGATGACAGGTTTTACATTTGCTAATAAGCAAACAATTTTAAGTAAAAAATGCAGGGCAACCGTATTTTCAAAACAAAAAGAATGCTGAGCTCAACAGAACTGGAAATTGCACTCAGAGCAGAAAATATATCTTAGAATAAGTGACATGATGACAACTGTGTATGAAGTATAAATGAATTTTATGCTTTGCACTGAATACCATATCATTGTCAAGTGTTCATTATTCTGTGCCCACAGTAATGTTCTTAATGTAATATTATTGAGGATGAATTATTTGAAGTTCATGATTTTGTTACTGTTTTATCCACATTAACAACATCTCCTTTCCTTTTGCTCTTCTAGTTCTGTTCCCATCTGCACATACGCTGAAAAGAAACCTAGATTCCGACATTCCTATTAATCCTGTGTTCCAGAAGTCATATAAGGACGTGGAGCTGCTGTATGAGGTTTCTCACTCTCTCTGTCACTCATATTTTACACTTCTGTTTTACAGCTATTGAATATTTAATCTGATAAGATGTAAGACAATTATATTTAATTAACTAGCCTCTGAAACTTTTCATTGTGAACAATTATTGACATCTTGCTCCTAAGGATGAGAGTAGCGTTGTGATTTCTGGGTGAAGGAAAGATAAATAATTAATTGTTCTTAGAATTATAGAATGTTACAGTACAAAAGGTGGCCGTTCGACCCATCGCTCTCTACAGCTCCTGAAAATGCTACCCAGCTAGTCCCACTCTCCAGCTCTATCTCTGTAGCACCCTAAACTCATCAAGTTCAAATATAGATCCAGCTCTCTTTCCAAACCTCCGATGGAATTTGCCTCAATCACTCTCCCAGGCAGCACTTTTCAAATCCTAACAACTCTGAATAAAAATGTTTCTCCTCATCTCACTCCCAGCTCTCATGTTGACAATCTTGAAATTGTGATCACTGGTCACTGACATACCAACTCGTGAAAACAGAATATCCTTCTTTACCCTGTCAAAATTGTTCATCATTTGGAACATCTCAATAAGGTCACCTCTTAGTCTTCTTTGCACCAAGGAGAATAAGCCCAATTTCTCTAATCTTTCCTTGTATCTAAAATCCCTCATTCCTGGTATTATTCTTGTATATCTCCTTTGCACTGTCTCCAGGGCTTTAATATCCTTTCTTAAATAAAGTGCCCACACTAAGCACAATATTCCAAATGTGGTTTGATCAATGATTTGCAGCATCACTTCCCTGCTTTTGTACTCCATGCTTCTATTTACAAATCCAACGATCCTATAACTGTTAACAATTGTTTCAACTTGTCTGGCTACTTTCAGAGAATTATGCACTGAACCCTAAAGTTCCTCTGCTCCTGTACTTCCCTCAAAGTTGTACCATTGAGGTGTATTGTCTCTCCATGTTTCTTCTGCCTGCATTTCTCTGCACGTTTGATGGGTCTCTGCCCATTTGGCCAAATTATCAAAGTCTCTCTGAAATCATTCAGCATCATCCTCACAAATCATTATTCTCCCTAGCTCAGTATCATTTGTAAATTTAGAGATTTGCCTTGAACACCCATTTCCAATCATTTATGTTAATCAGAAGAAGGTATAAAATGTTGGGATTTAGAGTAATTCAGCACAACGAAATTGGATTTCTGACTTGATTAATATATTCTATAATTCAGTGGAGTAACATAGAAATTAGAAACAAGAGGCCCTTCGCATCTGCTTTAGCCATTCAATAGGTTCATGGAAGATGCTCCATCTCAATGCTTTCTCCCCAAACTCCTTTAAAATCTAAAAATGTATCAATCTCTTTCTTGAATATATTCAGTGACTTGGCTTTTTCGCAGTAGAGAATTCCACAGATTCACTACCTTTTGAGTGAAGAAACTCTTCCTCATCTTAGTCCTAAATATCCTGTATTCTGATACTGTGTCCCTTGGTTCTAGACTCCCCAGCCAGAGAAAACGTCTCCTTGCCCCCTTCATCCAGTTGGCCCAGTCCTGTTAGAATTTTGTAAATTTCAATCAGATCTCCTCGCATCTTTCTAAAATCTAGTGAATACAGGCCCAGTCAAACCAATCTCTTCTCATATGACCGTCCTGCCATAGCTAGTATCAACCTTGAGAACCCTTGCTGCACTCCCTCTATGGCAAGTACATCTTGTCTTAGGTAGGAAACCAAGTACTCTGGATAACTGAGATACAAGTTGAGTTTAACATTCTTTGTAGCATTTCGTTCTGAATTGCTATATATCTTGCGATGACTTGAAGGGCTTGGTTTAAATCATGCTGTGCAGCAGAGCATTCTTTATAGGATCTCTACTGTGTTTGCTCAATAATTTTGGACCTCTGTGGTATTTTGCAACGTATGAATAAAAACATACAATCTTCCAAACATATCCAAGCACAATACAATGCAGTCAAATGCCCCTGTTTAGAAGAACCTTGCTCCTTATGATTGAATTATATGCACCAAAATGTTCCAAAACCATAAGATTGGGAAAGTCTTCATTCGCTTCAGTGCCATGCGGAATATAACTAAAGAATAAAAATGACAACTTGCATTTATGTTTTTAATTATTATTAAAGAAACATTCTTGGAATGTGGCTATCACTGATTAGGCCAGCATTTATTGTCCAGAAGACATTCAGGAGTAAACTGGAGTCACATGAAGACCAGACTTGTTAAGGACAGATGATTTCCTTCCATAAAGGACATTAGAGAACCAGAGATAGTAGGAACTGCAGATGTTGGAGAATCCGAGACAACAAGGTGCAGGGCTGGATGAACACAGCAGGCCAAGCAGCATCATAGGAGCAGAGAGGCTGACGTTTCGGGCCTCGACCCTTCATCAGAAAAGGGGGAGGGGAAGGGGGTTTTGAAATAAATAGGGAGAGAGTGGGAGGCGGATAGAAGAGGGATAGAGGAGAGGATAGGTGGAGAGGAAACAAACAGGTCGAAGAGGCGGGGATGGGGCCAGGAAAGGTGAGTGTAGGTAGGGAGTTAGGAAGGGGATAGGTCAGTCCAGGGAGGACGGACAGGTCAAGGGGGCGGGATGAGGTTGGTCGGTAGGAGATGGAGGTGCGGCTTGAGGTGGGAGGAGGGGATAGGTGGGAGGAAGAACAGGTTAGGGAGGCAGGGACGAGTTGGACTGGTTTTGGGATGCGGTGGGGGGAGGGGAGATTTTGAAACTTGTGAAATCCACATTGATACCATTGGGCTGCAGGGTTCCCAAGCGGAATATGAGTTGCTGTTCCTGCAACCTTCGGGTGGCATCGTTGTGGCACTGCAGGAGGCCCAGGATGGACATGTCGTCTGAGGAATGGGAGGGGGAGTTGAAATGGTTCGCGACCGGGAGGTGCAGTTGTTTGTTGCGAACCGAGCGTAAGTGTTCTGCAAAGCGGTCCCCGAGTCTCCGCTTGGTTTCCCCGATGTAGAGGAAGCCACACCGGGTACAGCGGATGCAGTATACCACATTGGCAGATGTGCAGGTGAACATCTGCTTGATGTGGAAAGTCTTCTTGGGGCCTGGGATGGGGGTGAGGGAGGAGGTATGGGGGCAGGTGTAGCACTTCCTGCGGTTGCAGGGAAAAGTGCCGGGTGTGGTGGAGCTGGAGGGGAGTGTGGAGCGGACAAGGGAGTCACGGAGAGAGTTGTCCCTCCGGAAAGCAGATAAAGGTGGGGAGGGAAAGATGTCTTTGGTGGTGGGGTCGGATTGCATTAGAGAACCAGATAGGTTTTCGTGACAATCAGCAAGGGCTGCATGGTCACTATAAGGCTAGGAATTTGTTTTTAATTAAATTCAAATTTTACCATCTGCCCTGGTGTAATTTGAATTGGGGTTCTGGCTTATTCCTTAATGACATTACTACTAGGCCCTACTCTCCCAATATCAGGTAGATAATTTACAAAAACATAATCAGATAAAGACAAACAGTAACAAAAACAGAATAAGAAGGAAAGCTGCATTCACCTTTATGAATGAATCCTGCATTATGTGGAATGTATGCAGAGCATCCCTCATGCTAGTTGTAATTTCAACAAAGGCTACCAGGTTAATTTAAAAAGTAAACACATTAAAACTATAAGAATGGGATTATAAAATCTTTCTGATCTGTCAAAAAGTGAATAGACTCAAAGGGAGTATAAAATATTGGATAATGGTAATAATTGGAAATTGAAGTTGAATGACTCATATGATGCAGAAAGAACGGAATTGTGAATCAAAAAGTCAGTCAGGAGAAAGAACTGATCTTGCAGCACCCTCTAGTGAAACAATATGAAATAATTTGGAGTTCACAACTTTCTCTCATGAATTCGTAGTGAAGTACTGAGGCATCTTGATATCTCTGAGAGCTTCCTCCTTTTCTAAATTAAAAATGCAGGCAATAAGCACCAGGTTAGTTAGAATTTGTACCTTAATGTATTACCTTCCTCTTCCTAGTTGAAGTATCTACTGTTTCTTCCTGATCTTCCCCAATTTCTTCAAATATCCAATGGAATACTCTCAGTTATTTTGCAATTTTGCAAATAATTAATCTTGCATTACACATTCTGAATAACTTGTTGCATATTTGCCACATTTTCAGATTTCCACCATTTGCAGTTGTTTTTCTTCAATGTAAGATCAAAACAGTGACTGGCTACCTCAAACTGTTTCCAGTAGATGAGAATCATAAAGGAGGGTCAGTTGGTACTAGATTAAATGATAGTTATTTAAAATGGATGGCAGAAGAAACCTGTTAACAGATTCCTAATCAATCCATTCAGATATGCTTCAATATACCCTTGGAACAGGTGAAACATGAACCCAGGTTCCTGGCTGTAGAAGGTGGGTACATTGCCGTTATACCAAGAGAGTCCTCCAGATGAAGCTTTTTTTTAATTTAACCTACTTTCCTAATTAACCTATTCAGAGATGTTATTACACACTTCTGAAGCAGGCAGGACATGAACCTGGGCCTCCTGGCTCAGAGGCAAGTTCACCACAAAAATCCCTGCATTCTGGTTTTTATTTTCTACATTAACCTGTTCAGGGAGGTTATTACACACCTCGGGAGCCGATGGGACTTGAAACCAGGGGTGGGGACACTACCATTGTACTACAAGAGAGACCTCACAAGGCTATGGAATTCATTTCCAGGGTTAGTGATTAAGGCACAAAGATTGATCAATCACGCAGGCTAATTGGCATAGTTTATGAGCTCAATAACAGCACATTAAGTGACTGTCCTGAATTTTATGGAGGCACACATTATCTGGATCAGACCATTTGATTGAATGAAGATGCATAGTGCGAAGACGATCTTCCACATGAAAAGTTTCCACTCCTACAATGATCAGTTGCTCAGCAACCACAAAAAGAACAACTTATTCTGTGTGCTTTCACTTTCCTGTCAGCTGCCACGAGTCCATCATCCTCCAGCAGTCCAGGCTACCTCAGCTCTTCAATGCAGTCCCA